CAAAGCTGTCATTGTTCCTCATTCAAGAAGAATTTAACTAACCGTTTTATATGATTGTCGGATGCGTATAACTTTCAAGATTCCTGTTGGGAAAGTTTGATGAACAGAATGCTGTAATGATTTTGTAATGTACTTTACATTATCCCGGATATGAAGTTTGAAGTAAGGCTTGTAAGCTTCAGTATTATTTTTACGTTCGTTCGTCATTTCGGTGTGAGACTTTTGAGAACAAAGAATTTTACTGCAGCATCTTATCATATTTATTGGTTTATTTGCCGATTTTTTCCCGTGCCGCGTGGAAATTTTGTGGTCTTCTGTGCCAAGACTTACCGAGCAGTAAGCTCGAAGGATTTTGCGAAGACGGCTCTTCGAAGTTCAAGTAAAGCTTTGAAGCTGCCGGATTTTCACCTTTTTCATCTCGTTTTTTTTTCCCCTCAATAAGTCAGAAACGATGGAACAGCATCTTGCAATAGTTTTCATGAATGGGATTTGGATTAGACAACTTATTTCTCGGGCATGTCGATCTTCAGAGGCCTTTGTCGGAAAGACTTGATAAGTGGGAGCTTTGAGTGATTTTTCGAGACGAGTTCTTTGAAGGATACCGAGAAGTTGCTCCTTGGGAAATGCCTGACGTTCATCTTACTGAATGCCGCTAACGATGTGCCGTTAAAAGCCCCGCCTGTACTCCGGAAATTAGACCAGATTTATATTCCATTTATATTCCGCGTATCGCGAGGAAGAAGGAGGAAAGAAGTTAATTCCGTTCTAAAAAAAAAAAACTTTTTGATGCCACTGTTCAAGACTGGGTATGAAGGACGATTAAAAAGCTCTTCCTATTCTATCATGGCTAGTTTTTCAAAAAGTACGAAATACTGCGGAGAGAAAACTGACGACCACCTCATGTCACTCATCAAAAACGCACATTTTTGAAAAAAATACGTGTACATTTAGAAAGTAAATTTGCCAACCTTTTCTACTTAATCCATGAGCGTTCTGCGCCTAAATTGAAAAGCGGGTGTTTAATTAAATTTACCTAAAAGATTTTAGCTTTTCTTTGAGAATACGACTGAGGCCGTTTTTTGCCACGCCACTCCTGGCATTGTCTTCTATCTTCGCTATCAGAGTACGTGGACTATGCACCAAAGCAAATTTGTTGAGGTTCTCGATTGATTTACATCTACGGAAATAAACCCGTAGGACCATTTCGTTCAACGGTAACTAATGCAAAAATAAACCAAGAGCTTTGGGGTTTTTTTTTTTGTGCGCAGGATATGCGTTTCTTTTCAAATTATCTCAAGTAACAAAAATTGAATTTCCTGTCGTGTCCAACTTCATCAGAATGGGAAGAAGGTTTTGCGTTCTTTCTTTGGCTTTCAGTCCCGTTGTCCTGCGCAAGCATTGCACGAGTATTTTATTGCAGATATTAATTAGAGGAGAAAATTCATTTTCCGACTTACTGATCGGGTATCTTCTTCCTGGTGATGAAAAATCTCGCAAAATTGAAGAGGATATTTCATTAGATAATAACGACGTAATATTAAGCCGGGTGTAAGTTCTAGATTGTATTACATTTCGGGGGAAATGCACCTATTACACCATAATTTTCATATTATTAGCGCGTGTTTACCTGAAAAATGGCTCGCACGAGGAACTGCGCCCTGTGAAACGAATACAGTACTGTACTAGTTTTAAGCGGTTTTATTTGCGCTTCTCTCAATTTTGTATAGTTTTATTTGTTACGTTCCCGTTGTAATCATTAAAGTTAAAGGAATGCAGGAGGAAACTGCCTTTGTCAGACTTGAGACTCACTGATTCAGGATTTTGTATGAGTCTTTTCATGCTTTCTTCGGAAATTGCGAATCTTTTCACATTCCATGAAGAACGCATCAATTTTTCAAATTTATCCATTATGAGGGAGAGTCTTCCCAATCAACGAGCATTTTGTTCAGAAAGAATTACGTTTTATGAAGCACCCCTGTATGGTGGCGATGTCATTTGGTACATCGTTTGAGGTGGAATTATTGGCTGCTTGATTCATCGCGGTTTTTTTTAAAGCCAAAATAAAAAGGTGTTATTCCTTTTTTTTCGTTAAAGTTTTCCATTAGAATGCCTCTTCTTTTCTGATATCACGGTCGAATCGAACGTCGCTTCCGCGTTCGTTCGACCAAACTAACTATGAAATTTACTCACGTTGTTACGCTTCGTTTGGTTTGGGGCAATGCGCAGGCAAGTCAGCTCTCACCTGCGGATCATTGCCGAGTCCTTCGTGAATTATGTCAACGAAACCGTGCAGGTGACATCGAAACATCGTCTCATCGCGTGTGACCTGACCTCTTTGCCGTCCCATAAACCCGCGTTCTGGTCCGTGGGTCAAAAATTGGGACGGTTGACAAGAATATCCATGGCATCGACCAAACAATGGTTGCGTCGATTCACGCCCGTAAACGTCGACTGCTCTGGGCCTACCTGAAATCTGGTTTCGATTTGAAAGTAAAAAATTAGATCGAGGTTTTCTCAATTTTTGCTGCGAAACCTTGCACTGGTTCGGTTGATTCACGTTGTCATTGCGCTGATGAATCGTATGGTGGCATGTAGATTGTTCAAGTTTCGAGGAACAGTGCCGAAATTTCGCATACAGCGAGAGGAAATAAAATGACGCATAATTTAGTTCTAGCTGACTTATATTCATATAAAATCATGATCAACATGACTGAGCTAAAAAAAATATATGCAGCAAAATGCAAATACAGTACTGTAAAATAAACACTCATCTGATGATAAACAAGAAAACGGAAACAATAATATTATTTTTTAAATGTCATGAGGGCATTTTGGAGCAGTTTTGCTCTTCGTGGGCTGCCAAAACGTTTGTGATATCGTGTCATAATTCGAAGATCATCATCGAACATTTCCGTCTGGGGTTTCGTGAGAAAATATAGTCAAATATTTAATGTATAAATTTCAATGCATGGCTTCCACCCTTCGAATTACGACATTAATTATCGTAAATGGATGAAATTAATTATCGTAAATGTATTAATCTTCAAGTTTTCTCGGTAGAATTCTCCGAGTAGAATTACATTGGACCTTTCGTCCATTTCCGCGTGGCCTTTTTTCTGCTTTAAAAGCTGTGTGAACAGCACAGTTAACCTTTTTTTTGGTTACTTTTTTTGTTTGTTCATGATTTCAAAAATGCAAGGCGCCGTTGAGTAAGTTTCTTGCTCGTGTGACTGCCCTGTGATTCTAGGCGTAGATTGAATCACGCTTCCTGGATTGCAGTTGATCGACAAAGATTTATTCGATCTCCCTCGGAAATTGTAGCATCCGGGAGTAGGAAATGGGGAAACAAAACACGCGAAAAGCAATTCTGATAAGCAGCGGTGAACCGCACCTCAGCGCTATTCCGTTTCTCCGACGAGGAAAAAAAACCGTATTGGAAATAAGTCGAATTGAGTTCTGGCTTCGGGAGCAGAGGCCAAATCGAGCGCGTGATCTGATTGACATCCTTTAGCTCTCCGATTCGGGGCGTGGTTGCCTTTGCTTTTGCTGCTGCTGCTGCTGCTGTGAATACGGACGAGATCAATCCGTCGACGACGGACGTTACACGCAGTTATCACTACATTTAGGATCTATTAAAATTAGTGAAAAACTTTGATGAAGGTTTTTAATATTCACGTGCAGTATTATTATTGCAGTATTAGAACAATAACCGCAATTGAGCGCGACTTCCGTCCTCAGAACGTCAAGTCCAATCGGAAGAGAACGTTTAACGCAATTATCTCGTAAAAAATAAATGAATTATATTTCGTGAAAAAAAATTTATTCACGTTTCAAGAACGCAATCTTAAGACTAATATGACTATTATTTTAGCAAGAAACGTTCCGTTAATCCTGCTCTTAAAATCCTTTGAAAAATTTAACGAATTTCACTGTCATGACATTGATTCCATGCTATTTTGCGAGAATTTTCATACTCCGATTTTTTAAGGATGTCAAAATATGAATGAGCTTCCCATCTGAAGAGTTTTCGAACAAAAAGAGAGCAGAAGGTTCACAAAATCGCCACGTTAGAGACAGCTTATTGTAAAATGTCGTTCTCACAAAAACACATTTCGATTAATTACCTGGGTTTCCTATTCCGAACTTCTCTTCTCATTCCATCAAATACGGATGCTAAATTTCTTTACGGCGCTTGAGAACCTTCTATGCTTGGAAGTGATTCTCAAAACAGGGTACTGTACTGCACTTTATTTTGAGAAATTAAATCGGAAAATTGACCCTCTTAGAAGAATTTTTATTTTCGTCTTCCATGTTCCGAAATTTTCCGAAGAATTGAAAAGTAAGAAGCTTGAGATTGATAACATTGCAAAAGATTTTTAAAATTTTATTTCGAGTTGACTTTTCCAGGAATTCACTCTATACGAAATGAGCGTCGCTTCACATTTTCAGTTCATTTAAATGGAGTAACGAGAAGGCTCCTGGCATTTCATTAAAGATCGATGCTACCTTATAAATTGCTAAAACGTGCTTTGGAACTTATGGCGTGAGAAGGAAGGATCGATGATTGGGGCAGCGATGTCAATTGCGCACCTTCCCGTGCCATCATCTATCGCATAAGGAGGAGACGATGGACTTGCATCCGCGTTCCCGTGGCCATTATTTCGTTATTGATGGACTGACCCTTGCTTTTTCATGTCTGTGGTATCCTGAATAGCAGCAGCAGGATCATGATAGGGGAGAGAAGACCTACGAGGAAAAAATATTTCCGCCTTGATATGATCTCGCCTTCCATACCGATACTCCCGGGTAGCAACTCGGGTTTCTCCCTGGCCATCATGTTTCACCCAACTTTTCCTCCCCACGAAAGCACCGCTTTTTTGTTTAAATATCTTTTTTTTAAAGCTTTTATTGTCATTGTTGGTTGAACTTATTCCTGACAGTCATCGTCTCACTCTTCCGCAAAAGTTTCAAAGTTGCAGAATCGAAATTGTTTTTCAAAGATGCCGCTAAAGTACTTAACTGTGATGTATTATCCCTCGCAGCTTTTCGTCTGTACACAAAAGTCAACGTAATTAAGCTTTTCAGACCTATATGATGCGCCAGTTTTTTTTAGCAAACACGAAAACTCAGTAGCCATCGTGGGTTTCAACACGAGCAATATATTTTAAATGCGAATAATTTTTGTTTATGCATGGGAAAATGTATCGATTAGCCCGTTTTGATTTAGTAGCCATAATCCGGGCAGATCGGAAATGTGTTTTGTCGATTCTGCTGATCTTGAAGGATTGAATGATTTTTCCCTCTTGGGGCTAGTAAGAAATATTTATAGTATTGAATACCGGATCACTTGCATTTTTTAAATTTGTAAAATCAGTTTTCTGATGCCACTCTAATGAAAACTCTGTGAGACTGGAATAAAAGGAAACGAAGGAAAATGTTTATATAAACCCCTAATTTACAGTTTTACAGCACAGTAACCGGGTTTTCGTGATCTCATACATAAATATGTTTTGTCAATTTTTTATGGTCAGCCTTAGGTCAGCTCTAATTTCTGGCGAAGCTGGTTGCATTTCATAATATTAGTTTTCTGACAGTGGGGAACTTTGACAAGGTCTGTAGGATTGATGCCACGTGGAATTGGGAAATCTGACAGAAACATTGTGCTACCCAAAAATAAAAAGGGAAGGCCCAGATGGGTTCATCATGTTTTCGCCCGGCCTTATCCAAAGTCGTAGAACACCAGGGATCAGACAAATTTCTACATATTTGCTGATCTGGTTTCACTCCGCTAAACGATGCTTGAAAATCGAGCGACCTTGTAAATTGGAACGTCCTAATCCATGTATTAATTCTTTGTGTCCTTTAGAGTGTAGGTCATATGAAAGAAAATCAGGATCTGTGCCGTACTGAGGCCAGAGTTTGCGCTTGCTGCTCAATTCTGTGTCAATACAGTACCATCAAGTTTCTTGATTGTGAAGGTCGTCTGATTAGTAACGGTTCGTTTTTTTGTACTCATTCCAGCGGGTACATCCTGACGCTGCCGAAGGTTTTATGGGGCAACGTGACAGTATCTGCTCACCTCAACCTCTTCAATGTCGCTGACGAGGGATCCATCACCCTCAAGTTCATGCGAATCGATTCCAACGTCACGATTTGGGAGCAGACCGAAAAAATCAAAGGCGGTAAGTGGAAACACCATGCATTTT